AGTTACTATTTCGCCGCTTCGAGGAGCAGACGAAGAGAACGCCACGCCGCCGCTTGGCTTCCCCCCCCCCCCACCCTAGCTAAGTAAGCACTTCAAAAGGTTAAGGGAAGTTTATAAAAACTTCTCAGGCGCTCGATCTGGGGGAGGGACATTCAAACAGGGTATTCAAAACCGTTGAGGGGTGACACTAATACAAAACCTACGAGAGGGGAGGAACTTCAGGGAGAGCAAAAATTATCTCACGCTCACATGCTTTCCCAGAATCCCTTTCCCTCCCTGAAGATTAGCCGTAGGTACTGTGAAGGGCTCACTCACTTAAATGTCCCCCCTCCTCCCCCCCCCCCCCCAACCCCACTCCCGACTCCCTAATTTTTCCCGCTTCCCACCCCATAATTTAACGTCATTTTTGTAAGAAGACCGAACCATGTCCGCTAACATTTCGATTGCGTGGAAGAGAATTGGCGAGGGGAACATCGGTAGTGCAGCGATTTCAACAGACATTTACGTCCATAATAGAAAGTAAACCGTATAAAACGTTTGAATGGAATCGCCTAGCGCCGACTCGTCAACAATTTGAACCACCATCTTGCACTAAATTCGTCGCCAGGGGTACTTAACTAAACTGCGATAGGTTTCACGGATCTCACCACCATTTCGGATAGAGGCATCGTATTTCTACTTTTCTTTGGAAACCAATCAGAAAGTAATAAGCTACAACCAACTATCTGGAGGGCGTTTATGCTGCAACAATTAGCACGTAATAACAAAAGTTATAGTCCTCAAACCACATGTTTTCAATGTGTATTCTGTAAATTGTTTTGGTGTGGGCACTAAGCCTTGCCGCGCTTACCCTATGATGTGATATCTGTGCTAGAGAGCTCAAACTTGCTATGGGAGCAAAGTTCTAGCGAATTCCCTCTCATCATGTATGTATTTGAGTCGAATGAGACTGCAGCTTCAGTACTGATCAGTATAGGCGTAAGTGTAGGCGCGTGCGAAAAGCATAGCTCCCACAGTTTTGTATTCGCTCACAGACCAATAATATGGGTTGTCTCTATTTAATATTATAATTCAACTATTCCTTTATCTAGTACTCATTTCAGGGTGAAAATCGTGTCGAGTACGTGGTCGCAGAAGTACGACCCCCCCCCCGAAATCGAGATCCTGGCACGACCCCCCCAAAACAGAGCAAATTAATTCAATTAATTAATCAAAAAAATCCTGCAAAATAAATCAAAAAAATCCTGCAAAATAATGTTATGGACGCCTCATCTTGTCATCTATGCACTGTCTTTCATCGCTGCACACTTTTGTGTATTTACTGAAATATCGACTCGAGGAAAGAGGCATTAACTTTGTGTGACCTCAAAGTCAGGTTCGTTCAGAAATGCACAGAAATCCTGAAGGCACGGGGTTGCGATTTAATCTTAATTCCTGCTTGAGTATATCGAAACAGCCGAGTGTATCAATCAACGGCCGATTCAACGGCAGCTGCGGCGCGATTGTCACTGGGTCAGATTTGCTGAAAATCCCGAAAAAAACCGTCGAAATCTACACCCTCGATGAAAAGGTTGCATTCCTCCATTTCATAACCTTTGAAGCAGTTTGAGGTAGGGTTAGATAGAGCTGGATTTCGCGTTTCCAAGAAGTATTGAAATTGCTCTGAAAGCCTTCCATGCAGAAAGATAGGGTCTCTCAAATTTCGTCGAGTAAACGTCGAGGACGCTGAAATTTTCACGCGAGTTTTTGCCACTTCAAAGCAATATCTCTCAAACGTAAGATCCTGAAAAAGGTGAAGATAGTTTTGGAAAGCGGAAGGTTTGCGCTTTCTGATGGTCTTCTTAGCTTTCTTCTACATTTCCTAGTTGAGAAGATATCTGCGTCGAGTATGTATCGAGGACGGATCCGGCCACCTGAAAATCCGCTCCCTTCTTCACCATTGCAAGTGTAATTGTTGGCAACGCTTGAAATGGGTCTAGAAAACATCCTCCCAACATAAGCAATAGGAAAAGGGGCAATCGTCATCATCGAATTTTGTCTGAGTATAGGCCATGCATCCGACCTCACTCGAAGTTGCAGAATCGATTCGAAGGTGTCATCATCATTGCATTGTAGTAAACGCATTTCGTAACTCCTACAACCTGAAGAACAACTTCATTTGCCCAGGGCTTTTCCTTCACGGTTGTCGTTTTTGCGACAGGGTCCCTAACAACAGTGTCATTCTCAGCGAGGTATTAAGGGAGAAGGAGCGAGCGATAGGCAGAGGAGGTGCCTTTGCAGCGCGTGCGCACATGTGGCAGTCTTCTTTGCGGGGATGCACTTTCATTCTTTGTACTGCCTTCAAATACGCCCTTCTCATGAAGGTGGAGGAATGGAGCGACTGAACCTGCAAAGAAAATTTAATATCATGTTTTTTTCAGATATTTTCATTTTCTGCTGCGCTATACCCTCTTACCTATCTGCACCATGATACCACTTCTGTTACTGACCCCAAGAGTACGACCCCCATGGACCAGCCCAACAGGTACGACCCCCCTGTCGAGGATTTCCTCGACCGATATTCACCCTGGTCCATTTCTATTTGAATTCAAATTTCTTCTGCCTGAGACCGCTTCATTGCGAAATACGTTAGTATGTTGAAGTATGCTTCAAGAGCCTTAACAGCATGGTTTCGGAAACGCAAGCCCATAATGGGTTAATCAACTAGGAATAAAAATAGGTCAGTGACTATAATGAATGATTATGCTTTACGATCCTCAAATGAACCCTTCTGCAAGGGGGACAACAGAGAAGATCAGCGCTGTGTTTGACCCAGTTTCTGCTACTGAATAGGCAGTGAGCTAATGGTCCAATCGTAACGGCAAAGACGAACGCGCTGTGAAGACCAACCTCATACTAGGCCTGTGGTCAGTTTTGATGAATGCTCCTTGTACCGTAAATTGGGAGTGTATCCGGACGTTACTACCAGGGTACTGTAGCGGACACCCGGAAGCAGCCGATACACCAGCACAGCCATCAGTATAGAAAGCACTGCTGCAGAATGAAGTTTTGATGGAAACCTATGGTCCGGCCGACCATGAGCGAGAAGCACGCCTGACCATCTGGGCAAATTCATTCTGGATTGCAAAAGCAGAACTTCCCTAATCGGTCACCAGTGGAGATGAGTCATGAGTCCACTGCGACAACAACATGCGGCACGTCTGATGGCTGCCTCGCAGCCAGGAAGCACCAGCTCAACCAAAGCCCGAACTCCGTTTTCTGAGAATATCGCTCTCGTTTTGTTGGATTCGCTAGGTGGCCTGGTTTGGGAACCACTTCAATGTATGAAGACAAGCATTGCTAAAGTCAGCGCGGAATAGCCCTCTAGGCTGGCTTCGGGTTGCGAGGGAATCGTCAGAAACGTCTCAGATTCTCCTTTCTCCGAATGTACGCCAGACCTCACATTGCAATGCCAACTCGCCACGTTCTGAGGGAGATAGCTAGCCGGCCACGATACCTCATCCACCACATAGCACTGGCATCGCTCCAAGGGCCAGTCGCATCCCCTGCGCCTTCAATCAGCATCTGCAAGAGAAAAAAGTCAAAAGATCACGACCACCCCAAAAAGCGACCTCTTCAAATTCTTCGACTCTCAGCTTTCCCTTCATTCTGGGCGGAAGCTTCCAAACGTTCCCTAGCAAATGCATTAGGTATCAGTGACCATGATGTAATTATAACGCATGATAGGAATATCCCTACAAGAGATAAACTTGTCGAAATTGAGACAGGAAGCTTATAGGCAACCCAATAGATTTTAGGATGTTCGAAAGTGCTTACCACTTTCAAATATTTTATTGAGTTGAAATTATTTTAAAAAATGCAACATCTATCACTAATATACGAATCACACTACCTGGCCTGTTGCCAAATTGCCTGATTAAAGGAAGCGATTACGATAAAGAGGGAGCCCATCGGGAAGCATGTGCGCCACACGAATCAGTTACTTGGATGCCGGGGAAGCGAGTGTGGCGCTCTCACAACCTAAAGGTGCGCTGGTTGCTGAGCAGGACTTCGAAAGCGCTCCGCCCCAAAAGCGATCCGCCCACCCACTGTTTACTTGTTGATTTGGACGAGCTGCGTGCCAGCAGCGGCGCAATGGAGCATCTCGATTGAAGCGTGGTTTGGCATGGTGCCATCAAACGCGTTGCGGTGAACTCGTTCATACGTCCACTTTCTGAGCTGTTACCTGTTCATGAGTGAAAACCAACGGCCAAAAAGGGGGTCCCGTTTTGCGTTTTCTTGACGGATTTTTCTGCTTTTTTCGCTACTGGCGTACCATTGAGCACCACCGCGTCACACTAAACCCTTCTTGAATTTATCGTAATCGCTGCCTTTAACCGAAGATTGAATATTGCGCTAGAAGAATGCTAGCCTGTGGGGAAAACTCCCAATCGAATCCACACCTCTCGTACTCCGGGCAGTTGTGCTACCGATTACACCACCGGGACACCGCCTCATCCTAGCTCGGCTTGACAAGCCTGATAGCGACTGACCGACCCTGGGCAGGCGAAATGAATGGGAGCATTATTGCCGAGACAGTGTACGACCCAGGATTTGATTCCCGGACCGTGTGCTTGGTAAGCAGCGCCACTCACGACTACACAGATTCCGTCTCGACATAAGAGGACCTAGTAGAGTGACATTGAGGCCATGAGCTCTCCTAAAATACCAGATCCAGATCAAGCTGTTGTATTCGATTTTCCATCGGTTTCCGACAGATTTCTGTTAGCTCAGAAACAACAGCTTGTCTAATAAATCCCTCATTTCAAAAATGGTAACAAAATGCATAACCACCAGTAAGCAAAATTCGAATAAAATTCTTCATTAACTATGCAGGCGATTCAACAATATTTGGGACAATCATCATATACATAGATAGCATAATGACCAAATATATGAACAGTACTTTGGAAACGTTCATTGTGGCATCTGCTAAAAATAGTGACTCGTACGATGTGCTTTTACTTCTTTCCATAACCCCCACTGTAGCGTCCTCTTTCGGGGCTACGCGGATAGTTCTGCTGGGAATACTCGCCGGTGTCGAGTTCGGAAACCGATGGTGCTACAATCTCTTGCACCTGAAATATTCATACAGAACTACTTGTTGTCTGAAAACGGTAAAAGAATCAACTTACCCCACACGACGATGGACAGTGTCCTCCAGGTTCTCCAGCATCTCCAGGTGGACCGAATGGTCCAGGAGGTCCGGGTTCTCCACGAGGACCAGGAGGACCAGGAGGTCCCATTTCTCCGATTGGACCTGCTGGTCCAGGATTTTGTGATGGCATGCCATTAGTTCCTGGCGGCCCTTTTGGACCTCGTGGACCAGGAGGTCCAGGAGGACCCTTGATTCCCGTGCCACCGATTGAGTCGTCTCCAGGTGGACCTTTGATTCCAGGTTCACCTTCCTCGCCTGGATCACCCTGTGGACCAGCGTCACCAACTCTTCCAGGTTTTCCAGGGCGACCGGGCAGACCTGGATGACCTGGTTCCCCAGGCATTCCTGGGCGGCCGGTTTCACCTTGTGGACCGCGATTTCCTGGTGGTCCTGCTGGACAGATGACACACGGGAAACTTGGCTCCGGATCAAGAGGAACGTCTAGACCATCAAGTCCGGGTTTTCCTAAAATATTATTGTGAAAAGTTTCGAAAAAAGCAATCCACGCAAAATATAGATCACTAATATATTACCGGGACGTCCTGGAGCGCCATCCATGCCAGGTTCTCCGTTCACGCCTGGTGGTCCAGGTGGCCCTGGTGGGCACTGCAATTGTACGCACGATGTGCACTGCTGGCTATCAGCGCTCGCTTCATAGTTGCTATATCCCTGGCGTCGAATACGTCCGTGGCTTTTGACAAGGACGATATCTTGCCAGATGTTACGAGCGGTGTACTGAAACTGGCACTATTGGCAATCACTTAATATTTGAGAGAAACTGTTTGCATTACTTCCCCAAACAAATGTATTGGCGACTCATGCCCGATTGTCTAACGCTGGTGTGCGCTAAATACGGGCAAGTTCGTTTTTTTTGCGAAGACAGGCTAAGGCGCTCAGAAAAAGACGCGGATGTTTCGTAGCGAAGCGCTGCCCAGATATAATACAGTGTCTTCGAAAATTACAACAAGTGCTTGCCGAATGCGTTGGATTATCCCAATTTGGATTCGGTATCGGGTTGAATTCGCTATACAGGTGGCGATTCCGTCATCCCTGTAATCACTCACACGCGCCCCTGTTGAATGTCATGCGCTCAGACTTAATCAGGGCAAGAGGCGTCATTTCTCACGCCAACCCCAGCGAGAATGATTGTGACCTTATTCGAATTGAGACCATCGAATCACAATTGAGCAGAAAGCAAATTTTTAGGCCCAGGGCGCACTTCGCGCAAGCAGTGACATGGCATTGGGGCCAGAAATATAACGTTAGGGGCTAATAGAATTTT